CCCCCCCCGGACAAAATTGTATCCAAAAATTTTTTGTCCATACCTTTTTGTTGTCCATTTAGTTAAGAATAATAAAATAAATAGAGACTTGAAGATTTTATTTGGGTACAGTTGGTTATTTGATGAATAAAAAATAGAAAATATGAAAAGAAAATTTTCTAGAACGAACAACTGATACTGGGGAAGTGAACAGATCAAAAAATGTGATAAAAAAAGTTTTGCCAAAAAAAAATTAAAGAACTTTTCTTATAGAAATGATCTTTTTTTAATTTTTTTTAATAAAATTGGCTACCTCTTAAAAAAGGAAAAAATTGTCTTCTACAGGATTATATACCACATATGATCGAAGATCGTGAACGTCGTCAAATTGGCTATTATCAATGGGTACCGTTTGCATTGGCAATTGCTGCACTAATGTTCCATATGCCAGCCACCATTTGGCGAATGTTATCAACTCAGTCTGGTCCGTTTTCTTTTTTTTTCTACCCTACTTATCTGTATCTTTCACTCACATCAACACACACAGACACACAGACACACACATCGACCAGTTCAAGCAATTTTTTTTCTACTTTTACTTTTACTAACATAAATCAATTGGGTTCACATCAAATCTCTCCTTATCGTCTTTTTTTTTTCACTCATTATCAATGCACTTTTTGCTCGTTCACCCATTTTCCATCTTTCACACTGAACACCAATACATTAATCTAATCAGTTCACTCATTTATCTCAAGTATCCTATTCTTTCATCTATTCACTGTATAGATATTGCTCTTTTTTTTTTGGTTAAATATTTAAAACTGGTTAAGGGTATTCTGAAGTATAAAACTTTTAATCACCTTATGATTCATTAGTAATTCAAAGCTTTTTTTCAAAATGTTTAAAAACTAATCTTCTTTTTCATTTTTTTCACTGGGATAATAAAATCAAAAGAAAAAGAAACAAAATATTAAAAAAAGGAGCTAAAAAAAGAAAGTTGTGGAAAAAAGTTACAACGTTGTCCAAATTGTTTAAATTCTTTTTTTTTTTTCAAATATTTTAACCATTTTTCTGCAACTTTATTCTTCGTTTTTCAGTTTTATTTTCATTTTATTTCTTCATTCCTTCTTTTTTTTTGTTTTTTGTTTTGTTTTTTTTTTTATTTTTTGTATATTACTTAGTTGAAGTTTAAAAACAGTAACAAATGCAATAAAGCAAAATAAATGGCAAAAAAAATACACTGTTGATTTATGCAGTTGAAATATGTTTTCAAAAAGTTTTCTTTTGCAAATTTGTTACTTAACTAAAAAATGTTTTTGTTTTTTGCTATTTGTTTCAATGCTTATAAGTGTTACTTTTTGTTTTTCTTGTAAAAAAATTTCTTTCAGAAAGAAATAAAAAA